CCGTTGAGGGTTTAGGGTTTAGGGTTTGGGGAATTTTCTCGATGAGTTTGAGGCGTGTTTTGGTAGTTTTACGTCGTTGAGGGCGTAGGGTTTAGGGTTTGGATGCATCGTCGATGGTTTTGAGGAGTTCTTCGGTGGTTTTGAGTCGTTGAGGGTTTAGGGTTTAGGTTTTAGGGTTTGGAGTTTGGGGCACTTTCTCGACGAGTTTGAGGAGTTTTTTGGTGGTTTTGAGCCGTTGAGGGTTTAGGGTTTAGGGTTTGGGATACGTCGTCGATGAGTTTGAGGAGTTCTTTGGTGGTTTTGAGTCGCAGAGGGACAAAACCCGCGTCGAATCTTTTCATGAAATGAGAACAATCTCCTTCTTCAGAAACAAAACCCTTTCCCGTCGAAGCAAAAGTTTCAATTGCGTAAACCTCCCCTTCTTCCATTATGTTCAAAAACGAAACGCTGTGCGCCGGGGCCTTCACAATCGGCACTGACTTCCCTGCAAACCACAAAAAAGGGTTTAGGGTTTAGGGTTTGGGGTTTCCGCCAGGGGCGCAGGGAACATCCCAGCGGGTCGGGTTTAGGGTTTAGCGCTTGGGGTTGCTCGCAAGGGTTTAGGGTTTGGAGTTTGCGGAAGGGGGAAGAAGGGGAAGGCAGAAAGGGTTTGGGGCAAGGGTTTAGGGTTTGGGCGTTTAGGGTTTGGGCGAGGGTTTAGGATGAAGGAGCAGGGTTTATAATGGACTTCGTCAGCAGCAAGTAGCTGCTTTAAAGATTAGGGTTTGGGGTTTCAGGCTCGAGGCCTAGGGTTTAGGGTTTGAGCTCTAGGGTTTAAAGTTTGCACTCTAGGATTTAGGGTTTAGGGTTTGCACGCCCGGCGCTAAATCCCTGGATCCAGCGCCAAGGCCCACCAGAGTAAGCGGCATAAAACGCAGCTGCGAAGGCGCTAGGGTTTAGGGTTTAGGGTTTAGGGTTTGGACCTGCGTGGATCCTGTAGGGCGCAATGGAGTGGCCGGTGAGGTTTTTGACGGGCTTTATTTTGAGGGTTTGGTTTTCATTTATAAATTCAAATGAAGAAATTGTTTCTTCAATTAAACCCCC